GCCCGGCTTGGCCCGGGGGGGGCGTCTCGGCTGCTGTTGCCCGGCAGGGCAGGGATGAGCCCCCTCGTCCCGCGGCCCCGCTCCCTGCGCTTCTCCTTCCCCTGCTCCATCGCTGCCGTTCCCAGCACCCCGGGCAGCGCAGCTCAGAGCAGCGGCTCTGCCAGGGCTCCAACTCGGGATCCACACAGAAACAGTGAATCCCAGACTGGTTTGGATGGGATGAGACCTTATAGATCATCCAGTCCCACCCCTGCATGGGCAGGGACACCTCCCACCAGCCCAGGCTGCTCCAAGCCCCATCCAACCTGCCCTTCAACACCCCCAGGGATGGGGCAGCCACAGCTTCCCTGGGCAACCTGGGCCAGGCTCTCACCACCCTCACAGGGAAGAATTTCTCCCTCAGATCTCATCTCAATCTCCCCCTCTACAGTTTCAATCCATTCCCTCTCATCCCATCCCTCCCTGTCCTTGTCCCAAGCCCCTCCCCAGCTTTCCTGGAGCCCCTTCAGGCACTGGAAGCTGCTCTAAGGTCTCCCTGGAGCCTTCTCCTCTCCAGGCTGAACAGCCCAGCTCTCCCAGCCTGGCTCCAGAGCAGAGCTGCTCCAGCCCTCTGGGTAGCAGAGGGTGGTTGAGGCTCCTGATTTCCAGTAATTTGCCAGTGCCAGCAGATACTGTCAAGGGAGGGATTTTACCCTCCCTGCTCCACTTGCCCATCTACCCTGATCACTCCATGGCACCTTCTTATCCTGATCTCCTCACCCTTCCCAGTTAGTGGGGCCGTTCCCAAAGCCAGGAGAGGCAAAGGGCTCTGGCTGGCCCGGGGATGTCCCTCCTTTCATGGTAACACGCTGGGATGTGCTGGCTTTGCAGCAGGAGCCTGTGAGCAGCACCTCAGCACTGCGGGCTCCCCAGTGGGGGATCCCGGAGGACCGGAGCCACCGTGAGCTCCTCCAGCAGGTGGCCCTCCAGGAGCAAAGCCACCAAGGGCCTCTCCTGGGCCGGGCAGGTGGCTGATGGCAGTTCCCCTCCCTCCCTGGAGCCGTACTGGGGGCTGGGGGTGGCTGTGCTGCCAGGTCACTGACTGCTCCTCTGCCCTTCCCTGCAGGAGGTCGGTCCCACCATGGTGGGAGACGAGCACTCGGACCCCAACCTGATGAGCTTCCTGGGGGCCACCAAGAGGAACATGATAGGGAACCACTTGTAAGTCCTGCTCTGCCTCGTTTTAAGCTTCCCCCCCGGGGCCAGTTTGCTGCTGAAGGGCACACACATGTCCCTGCCCCTGCCTGTGAACACTCACCCAAGGAAACACTGCCTGATACTTCCCTTAGTTCCTGCTTTTTCCTTGCTCTGACCCCATTTCAGCCCCGACCCCCCCTGGCTGTGGCTGTTCCCAGTGCCAAGCCCTTCTCCATGCCCACC